TTTTTTTTTTTTTTTTCGTTCTACACGGCGTCCGCCAACCAGCGACTGCGCGCAGCGTACGGCCACGGCGGGACGGGGGCTGCGGTGCGGAGAAACTGGGCGGCGGCCTTGGTGTGGAAGCTCAACCACCTCTGTACCAGGTGCGTCTTCTCTCGGAAACCTGATAACCCCCGCATCACGCACGGCCAAATGAAGTAAGACCCTGTACCTCTTGCTGTGTTGACGCGGATTTTTCGTCTGGGAGAGTAGTTTTGAGAGGTATCGGTGGTAGGTCGGAACGGTTTTAAAACGTAAACACAATAAGAGCTGGGTCCCACGGCGAGTGGGAAAGTATGAGCTCAGCTTTTCGACGCGGCGTCGATCGTAGAAAAGATGCGAAATGTTCGTTCTGCAAACACGCCTTTCGCAGGCGAGTGTGAGTCTCACCTTATTTTTGGGTGTTTGACATCTTGTTCTTCGGATTTTTCAGGCGGTGCTTGTTGCCTCCTTCACATTTCTCCCATGAACTCCCCGGTTATACGTCTGCTCTTTCTCTCTCTTCTCCATGGTTCCTCCATCTTCTTCTATGTACTTCTTTCCCCCAGCAACACAGTCATTTCGGCAGTTATTCGGTCTCTTAACGAGAAGCTGGAGCGAGTGATCGGACTGCCCCCCGTAACCCCGCCCTCCGCGGGCGGCCATGGGCTGCGGCGCCAGAGTCGGACGAGAAGCTTCCGTACCGTCGGCGGCGTCGGCGGCGTCGGCGGCGGCGGCGGCGGTGAGACCGGACTCCGCAGGGGCCGTTTCGACTCCCTCCCCGCCGGGTCGGGCAGGGACGATTTGGGCGGCGGCCGCGGCGGCTTGTCGAGGATAGACGAGCACGACTACTCCGGCCTGGGAGTCGGGGACTACGGAAGGCGGAGGGACTCGTACTCTTCCCGGCGCTGGAGGGACGGCTACCCGCAGGCAGGGGACGGGAGGAGCCCCCCGTCCACGTCAGGGAGGTCGAGGTTGTCGTGGTCGTCGCCGTCGGTGCTGGCACGACAACGGCATCAAGATGCAGAGGCTCGTCGTCGGCAGTCTGACCGCCGACGTCGCGGGCCACCGGCGCGGTGCCACGGTGAGGAGGAGAGCCGCCGGGCGCGGGGGGGGCGCAGCGTTGAGCCTTCCCCGCAGGTGAACAGCTACGGCGTTCGTGGCGGAGCGTACGTCCGGGACGGAGACGGTGGAGGTCCGCAGCCGCAGCCGCAGCCGCAGCCACAGCCGCCGCAGCAGCAGCACGCCAGGAGTATGAGCAGCAGCAGGCAAGAAGGGGTTCCCCACTCGTCTAACGGCTCTCTCGGGTCGTCGGCCTCCTCTTTGGTCTCCCTGTCCTCGCTGCGGCGGCGACCCCCCCTTTCTCCTCGTGCCCACAGCGGTATCCACGCCGTTGTCGATGATGACGAGAACGAGCCTTGGTATGGCGATCGTGCCACGGAACGACCCGGAACCGGAGCCGGCGCGGCTTCCCCTGTAAACCCGCCGCCCGTGGAACGGAAGAGGTGGTTCGGTTCGGGCAAGGGCGTTCCCGCGGGAGGCGGCAGCGTAGGGGAGGGGGCGACAGATGCGGATCCCCGGGCGGGGATGCCTGCTGGGGAGGAGGGCGACGAAGTGGAAAGCTTTGACGGTTATTGCGATGATGCTCAAGAGCTTTCCGATGGCGGTATCTCTGACGGGTTTCCGTGGGACGGAGACAGTGCGGAAGACGTGGGCGAGGTCGAAATGAGGCCAACCCTGGAGAGGAGTGGGTCGTCTCTGGACTTGCGGCGGGCGTTGCCGCACTTCAGGTGACCCTACGGTAGCGGTAGTTACTTGTGCAACGACAACGACGAAGTCGATCGTGTGCCGGGCATCGGATCGAGGGCTATTAGCCAGGCCTGGTGCTGCTGTTGCTGCTGTTGCTGCTGTTGACGTCGTTATCGTTGTCGTTGTTGCTGTCAGTGGATATTCTCATGTTTGAGATGTTGGTGCTGTCTTGACCGGCCGCATCTCTCCGCGGCATCTGCGGAAGCAGTTGACAAAGTAGCCTACATCATCTTTGTACGCCTTGTCCTACGGCGCGGGCGAATCCACCCTGCACAGTGTTGCGATTGTTTCCAGCGTGGTTTCGGTTTTTTCAGAAATATCAAAGCGCGTCTGTCCACCTCGGGGCAAAACCGCAAGGGTTGCAGCAGCGGGCAATCTCTTCCCTTGTGCCAGCACGACCACCTTTGGCGCCGAATCTCCCACCAGCTCACCAACCCGCCGGTGCTGCATGTATGCTACTTGCAGGAGCGTCTCGGTGGGCCGCCTTGCGCTGGGGTTGAAGAAGGGAGAGCCGTCTGGCCGGGACGGCTGGCGGAAAGAGTTCCACGCCGCGGAGGCATGTTTCTTTTGCCGCAAGCGCTTCAAGACCATCACCAGGCAGAGGCACCACTGTAACAGGTTTGTTTTGGCGGCGGTTTACGGACGACGAAGCGACCGGCATTTTCGGAATGGCGTCGGTTTTGTGTATCGTGCATTTTTCGTTGGACAACGTCATCGTGACTTTTTTTTTTTTTTTCGTGTCGTCTCGTGGTCATTTTTCGGGCCACCACACGCTACATCTCTGTTACTGTACGTTTTCGCGTTTCTGGATGTGGCTCATTGGTTGGTTGTGGTAAAATTTTCGTTAATCACGAGCAATCTACGGTGGCGAGTCTGGTTTCGACCAGCACAAACGACATCGATGCATGCGATAGCGACAGGTAGTGAACGGTAGTCTTGCTCTGGGAGAACAACGTTCCATGTGTTCCCAATCTCGAACGCCAACAATACCTAAAATGGAGAAACCATACCACTAATTTGCGACGGACCAAGCGGACAGAGGAATCTGAATGTTTTCGGCGCAAAATATTCGCCCAAGTTCACAACAAACTGTCTCCGGCACAACTGCTGTGGACGACTTTATCCTTGCAGCGGTCCGATATTTTCCATTCCACAAAATAGCAAGACATCGCATTCTCCGTTTTTTTGTTCTGCGCGCGCACGTAGGTGCCATCGTGTGTTCTGCGCCAAGCACGGCTACACGGCACACCTCAAGGGCACGGTGTGCACGATCCCGGGGGTCTGCATCTGCGACGTTTGCCTCGAGAGGTGTGATGATGCGCGTCGCTAGAGTCCCTCTTTAGTGGCTGTTGCCGTACTGTAGGTGACATGACACAAGGTACCACACCCCATGGACCGATGTTCAACGCCCGGTTGTTTTTGCAGCACCGACAGTTTCGGACCGAAAATGGCGGCGTTGGGACCGCCTAGGCGTGAGCGCGTCGCATCGTGTGATTCTCGCATCTTCTTCGCCGTCGAAGTGATCCGAGCTTTTTTGAGTCACTGCAAGGGCTGCATATCCTTTCAACCTACGTACGGTACTTCTGCCCGGGTATCGTAGATGCGATCGCGGTCAGATTTCCTCTTTTGTCCTCGCGGCCCGGCCCAGACGTCGGTTGCAATACAGCAATTGTCTCTGGGAGATTGTCGCGGGCACGGCCAACTTGGACTGCTCCACGCCCGTACAGCAGCAGCGAGTTCTGTCCAGCCGTTTCGCAACCGTTGGCACTTTTTCATTTGAGGAGTTCTCCCGCTTGTTTAATTCCTGAAAGGCAAACGTTCTCCCCGATTGTTTCATGTAGGGGTTTCCGAGCAGGGTGTGAAGGTTTCCGAGTAGGATGTGAAGGCTTCCGAGTATTAATTGGATTATTTCTCTTGTGTCCAGTTTCGCCGCAATGTTGTATCTCACGTCTGCATCATCGACAATGCGCCATGCTCGTAACTTTTTTTTCGCGACTCCCGAAACGAAAAAAATAGTGTGGCCGGTGGTGAGGGCGACGGCGCCAGACACGAAGCGCGAACAACCCAGCGGCGGCTGTTCAAGGCGGGCCTCGAGGGCGGGGCTGCCTCTGTTACGAGCACCGGGAGCGAAGGCGGGAGCTCTGGGAATGGCAGACGATTCGGTTGGGGGCGGTCGACAAGGTGGGTGGGGTCGGCGAGGGGATCTGAGGACTTGATTCCGTTTCATCACTGCAGGTTATTGGGCGCTGATGTTGTTTTTTGGGAAATATGTCCCAATACGCGCCTGCGCATCGACCGAGTGCGTCTAGATCTCACTGATGCATTTCGACCAAGTTCTCTCTTGTCCACCCCTCCGAACGATCCAGTTTCTGTCAGGTGCACGGTGATTCAGACGGCATGCTCGCTTCTTATCAACCTGAGTCGATGGCGATGCTCTAGGATCAGTAATCCTGACAGTACGGTACCATGGGTTTGCTTTGTACGCTCCCTCTTGATCCGCTACACACGTGGCTGTACTGTAAAACACCGCGTGTCTGATGTCGCAAGTTGTTGACGTCAACACCCTCCGCCTTCACCCCATGCAAAAATGCACCGGCGACGGCCTTTTGGCTGTCCCTCGGCCGTCCCAGCTTCGGCGAGCAGCTCCGGAGGAGGAGAAGAGCCGCCCCCGGCGACCAATCAGCGAGCGAGAGGAAGGATGACAACGAGGGGCCGTTTTCGGAAACCGTTACCGGCGCGGGAGACGGCAGCCTCGGCGGCGGCGGTGGTGCAACCGTCCGCGACAACGACCCTCCTCCGAACAGCGGGAGGTATACGGCAGCCAAGAGGTCGGCGGTGCCGGTGTCGACACCGAGTTCGGAAACGCCCCTGAGAATAGCCTCCGTTAGAGCGCTCACGGCCAGCCCCTCTGCCGATGGCAGCAGCCCTGCCGCCGCCGCTGGCGACGGAGGAGGAGAAGGAGGAAGAGGCTCCGCTGAATCGTTCTCCGTAGACCCGCGGCGTGTCGGCTGGGGCGTGTTCGGGACTAGAAGGAGGATAACGAGATAGCGTGGTGGCGATCGTTTGTCGGCCGTGGTGTCGAGCAGCAGCTAGTCTTGACTCGTGCTTGCCAGTTGGTTTTCGTGGTTGACAAGTGACGGCAGCACTGCACCTCTAACTTGGACTGGGAGGTGGTGGGAAAATGACGTGTAGTTTTTCGGTCGGTACGATGAAAGCCGTTTGGGCTTTTGGGTGGAGTTGGTATTGTATCCCCTGTGCTTGACCTAGTCTATGCGTCATCCATACGTAGCGATGTCAGGAGCTTGGTGTACTTGGGGACAATTGGCGCTATTTTATTCGCTTTTTGTACTCTTCGTTTTGTTATGAGTACGAGAAGGTCTTTGGCTTTGTCGCGCCTCTTCAGTGCCTCCCTTCCCCGCCTTTGGCCGGTGAGCGGCGTCAACCACGGTGTTTCCGAGCGCGGTTCTCAAGTCTCTCGGGGCTTGCAAGGGGGGCGGTGTATATACGACGGTGCGTGTCGATGTTCCCCCTGCGGCCTGTTGCGTGTGGCGTAGACACGGGACTTCGAGGGTAGGCGTGTTGTCGGCCAAAACGGGGTGGGGACCGGTTGATATTTTTCGCGATGTCGGCTTTTTTTGAATGACCAGTTTTGCGTTATAGTTGGCCTGTGACAAATGACAATGCCCGCGTCAGTCGGACCGGTACGTAAGTTGGAAGGTACAGTACCACTGAACAGATGCCGGAACGGCTTTCGATGTGAAAACAACGACGAAAAAAGAAGATTTGAACATGCATGGATTTGAGGGCACTACCGATGGACTTTCCCCGGTTGAACACGGGGATAAATTATTGAGGGTAAGGGCATGTTGTTTGAGGCCACCACCACACCGAAGTGGACACTCACCCTGTCCACGACGTTTCACAAAGTCACGCCCACCATTATCACATCCCTTGACAGCCAACACGCACCACGTTCACCGCCTTTTTCCTCCGTGTTGGGTAAATCTGTCGGCTGCTTCTGCCCCAAAAATGTAGTGGAAAACCAAGTGCAACGGGCGCTGTCCTGTTCTCACTGGCTGATGAGCGGATCTCGCCGAAGAGCGAGAAGGTACGTGAATATCCCGGAGAAATTCAGCAATGGACTCGAAACTACCCTTTCGCAGACGATAAAACCATCTTTTCCAGTAAATCTTGGAGTCAAGTCTCTTCCCTTAGCCTTCAAACAAAGGATGACGCTTGCTTTAACAAAGACAACACAAGGAAGAAAATACTGTGCAGAAAGCTAGAATGAGACCTCTGCAACGCTGCCCGTCTGTCATTGCCTCCCGGCGCAGCTGAATTGTTGCTGCGTCCGCATTTATTTGCCAGTCAGTCGAGTGCACAACGATGCCGTCCCCCCCAACCAGAGCGAATTCTACCGTCACGTGGGCTACTATTAAAACGTCCACCACCAGACAACACGACCTACACCACCACCGACACCAAAGCTACAGAGGTTTTACAACCATCACCACCACTGCCGCCACCACCACGTCCACCTCCATGTCTACCATCACCACCACC